AGTGTTTGTGTGTGTGTATGTATATATATGTGTGTGTGTGTTTGTGTGTGTGTGTGTGTGTATATATATATATATGTGTGTGTGTGTGTATGTGTGTATGTATATATATATATAAGTTTTTGTACTTTAAAGACTTACGCATGCTTTTATGCACACATATTATTATGCATGTATGTATGTATGTATGTGTGTGTGTGTTTATTGAAATGTGTATACTTTGAATGTTTACACATGCTCATGTGTACATACATTGATATAATTATCAAATTCGCCGTATACTATTTCGGGTGTTCTATATACCATTTTCAGTCAGTACGATTGTGTTCAGATAACGAATTGGTGAAGCGTATTTGTTTTCTCATTTCTTTTACTATACACTGTATACATATACACGCTAGTTTTATTACCTTGCATGTAGATGAAAACGAGCTCTAACAAAAATAGACGATCCATAGCAAGTCGACTGGTAGCAGTGATGTACTGAAATGCCTCTACGCATCGTTGGGATACATGGTTGTTCCCCACTGCTGCTCTTCCTTTTAGTAATGAGAAATGTACTAACGCATGCCATATTCAGTATTCTGAATACTAGTTAAATGCATAAAATTTATATTTTGAGATTGTACTGCTGAATATATATGGTACTTCTGATGCGCTCTCCGATGCGTGCACTTTTGCAACTGTGGATATAAGTTTGTCTGAGTCTCTTTTTGACCTTGTTCGCCGCAGAAAGTCTTGACGTTTGCGGTAATTGGGTGCATGTTGGGGGACGCCCATAAGTGATATTCATTGAAGTATCGAATGTGCATATATGGGCCTTGTCAGCCTTTGTGTGCGATGTGTTCATCACAAATTGTACATTTTCTGTGTGTATGGTAGTGTGCTGTGGGTTATAGTTAGGTGATCATTGTGTGCTACATCATACTCCATTCAAGTTTGAAATTAACTACTGTAGGCATTAAAATCAGTGAGTGTTCGTCCTTCGATATTTACGTTTTATTTCAATCGATCGAATGAGCGACTGGAATTGAGTACGATGTGCGGTGGATTGCCACGGTTTGTTTTGTCTTTATTTTTAAATCTATTGTCTGTATAGTTCTTTTCGAGTTCTAAAGTGTGCATATGTTGTTCTGTTTGCTGAGTTGTCATTAGATCTGGAACCATGCCCAGTGCCGTATCTGCATGGATGAGGAAAGTCAATTGGCAGAAAGGTGATGCACTGGAACCAGAGAGCTATAAACATTTGCTCGGGTATGTCCTTTTCGTCCATTTTCTGCTCTTATATATCTTTGCCTGCATTTAAGTGTTGCCTGCGCGTGCCTGCAAGGCCTATGCGCCTATACTAGTACTTAGTGATTGGATCCATTTTGGCGTCTGCAGCTTGCGATTCAGCAATGATATGGCTTCAATTTAGCTCGGACATGCGCAAATTCACCACCGTCTTCTTCCCGTGACTGATTTCAAGTGCACTCTCCATCCGTATACACACGTGATCAAATTAGCACGACTACAGCCGTTGTACATGCTGTGGGCACCTTACTCGAAGATCAAACATACAAGAGCTACATCAAACCTAGTGCCAGCACATCGGGTGCTTCTAAAAACGTGGTATGTGCGACCATCCATAGTATATCGTGCATTCCCGCTCTGAGTTCTGCTCTGTTTGAAACTGTTACTTGTGCGTCAATTCGCGTACCAAACCATCCCATTTGTGATACTACGCTGCTCATGGACTGTATGTGTCATAAATCATTGATGGTATTGATTGCTTTCCACGAGTCCAGAATCTTGGTAGCTGGCCAGGCTATGATTGTGCCATGCGCAAGTCTTGTATTTCCGTCGCCGTTACTTGGCAACGCTTAGCTGAAGGGCCACTATGGTTAGCACCACTTGTTCGTTTGCAAATTTGTGTTGCTTTTTTATTAACGTTGTATCACTTTCGTGACTCAGAAATATGAAGTCGTGAATCGTGACACAGCCGACAAGGCAGCTGCTGCCGCCAGTGAACACAAGAACGTTGAGGTGGGCTCAACAATTGACTGGGAGGGGGGGTTTTTTCCTTCTTTTTTTTTGTCCGTCACTTCGTAAAGCTGTTCTCTTGAACTGCAATTATTTCCTTTCTGATCTTCGCAAGTGTTGTTTGAATTGTGTGGTCAGAGATCAGGTTCGATTATATAGTGTTCACCAACGTGTACTGAACTTCGACAGTTTCCTCATCCCTAGTTTTTTATGTACTATTATCCAGACCTTTGTGTATATCTCAGCCGACTCTGCGCCGCCTTTTGTCGATAAGAGGTATATTAGTACTAAACGAGAAGCTGAGCAACTGATCAAGGCTCACCCAGAGTACAAAACGGTCATTCTTCGACCAGGTAGGCGGTGACCTTCTGCGTCCTGAGAATTAAATAGGAATCCGCAAACTGATTTATAGATATTCAGTGTTTGAGTTTACGGTATCGCCGCTTGTATACCTGACTTTGTTTACGAAATTAAATTTCATGCTATCCTCCTAGTTAATTTATATTGCGCAATTTGTAGTTAATTTTCAGTGCGTGCTTGGTTATTCATTTCAAACTTGATCAACTTGCTGAAGAAATATTCACTAGCATCACTGAAAAAGAAATGGTGTAAAATTATCTCTAGGATTTCTTTTCGATGACTCTGACATGACGACATCAGCGATGGCGCTCGGAATAAAGTCTTTAGGTTGTATAAGGTATTTTTTTGTGAGTTGAATAAAAATTTGCTTCGATCCTTGCTGTAATTGTGTGATGAGATCATATATTTCGGGCTGTTGTTAATGCCCAGTCCAGGTTATAATTTTGTTGATGCTTTCTCTATTTGATGATATTTCGTTGTTGGAATAGCATCATCGCATACCCAAGATCCGATCACACTAATTTTGGTCAATTATACATCTTGCAGTTCCAGATTAGGCGTGGCACGCACTTTAACCCCGCCACCCCCTGTAAGCGTATCGATCTTGGCTCAAGCTACTGTACAAGCCGTGCTAAAGGGTGACTGCGAAGGCACATTCGGACCTGAAGACATACCGAAACTCGCGCAGCAAGCCAATTAAATGTAGAGAGCAACATAATTTGATGTACACGAACTGAGATTGAGTATCATGTTGTTGATGTCACATTAATAAATAGGTGTTGCATCTGTCTATCAAGAGCTATGTATCTATGCGTATGCCTATGGTTGGTGAGGTGAATGATACATTCTTTCAGTTTTAGCGCGGCCCTTTATTCCTTATATATAAATATATATATATATATATATATGTGTGTGTGTGTGTGTGTGTTGT